GAACTGAGGATCTTGCACTTGTGGTTGCAAGGCAGGCACCTTGCCACTGAGATAAATCCCGAGCCCTTTGCTGTATTTTGGAATGTGATGACAAAGTAGAAGGAAGGAAGTTGATATGTATGTAAATGTTTATTTGTTGTTCAGAATAAATACTAATTAATTAGAGCTAATCAGAGCTAATGTTTTTAAGTGTTTTTGTAACTCTTAGAATCACTTGTCAAGCCTGTGGCCAAAGTTTTAATAGGGAAGGAAGGAAAATTTTTTAAAACTATGGCAAAAGTGGATTTACCTAGGAAAGCAGTCTGGAATGTTTACATGGTATATTAGTTTCCAAAGGCTGCTGTAGCAAATTAGGATAAAATGGGTGGCGCAAAACAACAGAATTTTTTTCTCTTACAATTCTGAAGGCTAGAAATCCAAAATTAGGGTGTGGCCAGGGTAATGCTCTCTCTGAAAGCTCTGGGGGAAAATCCTTTGCCTCTTCCAGCTCCTGTTATCTCCTGGCATTATTTGGTTTGTGTCAGGACAACTCTAATCTCTTCTTCTGTATTCACATGGTCTTGTTCCACATGTGTCCCTATCTCAAATCTTCTCTGTTCCTTTTTTTTCTATAGTGTGAGGATGAACCAAGAGCCTCACCTGTACTAGGCAAGCACCCTACTCCTGAGCAACACCCCTATCTCTCTTTTCTTGTAAGAACACAAGTCACTTAGGCCCATCCTAAATTCTGGATGATCTCACTCCAGAATCTTAATTATGTCTTCAAAGGCCCTACTTCAAGTAAGATTTCGTTCACAGGAACTATGCTTAGGACATGGTTACATCTTTTAAGACAATACAGTTCAATACACTAGATTATCCTTTATTTTATTCTGGCCTTTAAAAATCATATTCATAAAAATAAAATCACAATTCAATTGACTAGTAATATTGAAAACTGTTTACCATGGAAGATAAAAGAAAAGAAAAAAGGCAGGAAATCTTGAAATGGAAGAACAGAAGTGATAAAAAAGACTGCTGTAACAAACACTATGTAAATAGTTGCTCCCTTTTCTTAACTTTTTTAAAATTTTGTTTTATGTTAAGTTTCTTTGAGGTACTGGGGTTTGAACCTACAGCATTTGCACAGAGCTCTATACTTCTTGGCCATTTTTATTTTTTATATTGAGATACAGTCTCTCTAAGTCACTGAGTTGCCCAAGCTTGGCTTGAACTTGATATACTCCTACCTCAGCCTCCTAGAGTACTGGAATTAGCATGAACCATCATGTCTGGCTTTCTCTTAACTTCTTTAAGAAAGCAAAATTAATAGAATGATAAAATACATTGTATACATTATGGTAACATATTTCAGAGATGAATATAGGATAAAGGGAGAAGAAGAAGGGAAGCTCTGTAAGAGTAGCATTTGGATAACTCAAAAGAACTAATACAGGGGCCGGGGATTTAGCTCAGTGGTTCCAGCACCGACCTGGAAAGCTCAAGGTTCCTAGTTCGATCCCAGGTACCAAAAAAAAAAAAAAAAAGAACTAACATAAAACTGAAGTATATTTTTTTCCCTGGTACCGGGGAGCGAACTTAGGACCTTACACTTGCGAGGCAGGCACAGTGCCACTGAACTAAATCCCCAGCCCAAAGTGAAGTATATTCTGGTAAGCTAAAAGGTACATGGTAAGCCTAGATCAACTACTAAAACACTCAAAAATAAAGTGGAAAAAAAAATCTTTAAAAGTTCTGGAAAATAGTTACTTAAAGCCAGGTGCAGGAGGCAAACACAGGAAGATCACAAGTTTGAGGCTGTGAAACTAATAAAAATTAAA